TTGAAAAAATTTTTTCAATAGATTATATGATCTTTTTAACTTAATAGCTTGGTGTTTAGAATTTGGATGCCACCAAATGAGTGATCTCATCAACACTCACCTGTAGGCCTTGTGAAACATAAGTTGATTGGAATGCCTATTTCATGTTTTCTTTTTGTAAAAAATATATTTTTATTTATTTCATAGATGGGGAGAGAGAAATATCAATGATGAGAATCACTGATTGGCTGCCTCCTGCACACCTCACACTGGGGATCGAATCTGCAACCCGGTATGTGACCTGACCGGGAATCAGACCATGACCTCCTAGTTCGTATGTTGATGCTCTACCACCGGGCCACGCTGGCTGGGCCCTATTTCATGTTTTCTAAAAACATTATCTTTTATTAAAAGGAATTTTGGGGTTATCCTTACCCTGAAGATTTGCATGTTTAGGACCCTTTTAACCATTTTTTAAAAAAAAACTTGTTGGAAGTATTATAGGTGTCCTTCACTTCTCCCCCATCTTTTAACTATTTTGTATGGATCTCACCAAATGCTCAAAATTCATGGGTCCAGATGACTTCTTCAGCTGTCCTTTTGATATTCCCCCTTTACCCACTGTAGTCCCACTTCAGTCCTAGCAGAAGGCTGCAGAAGCTAGTAGTGGTGCAGATCTTCAGATAAACCCGGGCCATTCCCACCTGCAGGCACTCTGTAATACTCCTTGTCTCCTTTCCTTTGCACCTTTTGAGTCCTTGCTCCTATAGTTCACTTGCCATCTCCTGTTTGAAGGACGCTTCCAGCTGGACTGTCACTTCTTGCTGCGCTCTCTTCTCTTCCAAGATTGTTCCAGTTCTCCCGGGTCTGGAACCCCAGCCACCCTTTGCCTCATGGGCTGCTAGAGAGAAATGATTCCTATGTCATTCATTCAAAACATTTGAGCACTTGTCTGTGCCAGGTAGGGTTTTGGAAGCTTAGAAACAGCCATGAATAAGAGTCTGCTCTCATGGGCTTGTAGTCTGGCTGATAGGTAGAGGGAACATTTAAATTAATGAACCTGCCTTAACCGGTTTGGCTCAGTGGATAGAGCATCAGCCTGCGGACTCAAGGGTCCCAGGTTCGATTCCAGTCAAGGGCATGTACCTTGGTTGCGGGCACATCCCCAGTAGAGAGTGTGCAGGAAGCAGCTGATCGATGTTTCTAATTATCCCTCTCCCTTCGTCTCTGTAAAAAATCAATAAAATATATATTTTAAAAGATTAATTAATGAGCTTGACTTTATAACATGTTAAGAACTGTGCTTTTCACCCTAGCTGGTTTGGCTCAATGGATAGAGCGTCGGTCTGCAGACTGAAGGGTCCCAGGTTCGATTCCGGCCAAGGGCACATGCGGGCTCAGTACCCAGTAGTGGGCACGCAGGAGGCAGCCAATGATTCTCTCTCATCATTGATATTTCTAGCTCTCCCTCTTCCTTCCTCTCTAAAATCAATAAAATATATTTTAAAAAAAAAAGAACTGTGCTTTTCTGTGAGATAGGAAGGCAAACAGGATGATATGACAGAATGTGACTGGGAAGGAGGACTGCCTCCGAGTGGATTCCAGAAAAGCCTCTTGGAGGTGACATTCTGACAGACAACCGGAAATGAGGAGGCAGCCATGCAAAGGCGTGGAGCCACCAGCCCTGTCTGGGAACAGCAAGCATGATAGCCCTGACATAAGGGGTGGCTGCTGTTCCTGCCGAAGAGAGGGAAGGCTGAAGAAGCTAGTAGGTAGTGGACAGGAGATAAAATTGGGATGTAGGCAAAATCTTACCATGTACGGTTTCATAAATAAAGGTGAGTATGTATTCTATTTATATTTTATTACACCAAGCCCTCTGCCTCCACTTTCTAGAACAGAGGTGGGCAAACTTTTTGACTCGAGAGCCACAATGGGTTCTTAAACTGGACTGGAGGGCTGGAACAAAAGCATGGATGGAGTGTTTGTGTGAACTAATATAAATTCAAAGTAAACATCATTACATAAAAGGGTACGGTCTTTTTTTTTTTTTTTTAGTTTTATTCATTTCAAACGGGCAATTCATTGCCCGTGGCTGTTCTAGAATATTCCCAAGCCTTTATTTTTCAAAAAAATCTTTTAAGGGGCTCATCAACTACATCCACCAAAGAGCATGCCAGTGTTCAACGTAAGTAACCCAAAAAACTGGCTGAATGTTTAACACTAAAGATATTTTTTTTATTAAGTCTTTATTGTTCAGATTATTACATTTGTTCCTCTTTTTTCCCCCCCATAACTCCCCTAGTTCCCACCCCACCCTCCGCCCTCACTCCCCACCCTCTGTCCTCATCCATAGGTGCACGACTTTTGTCCAGTCTCTTTCCGCATCTCCCACACCCCTTTCCCCCCAAAGAATAGTCAGTCCAATCCCTTTCTATGTCCCTGATTCTATTATGATCACCAGATTATTTATTCACTTGATTCTTAGATACAATTGTTGATAGATGCATGTTTGTTGTTCATAATTTGTATCTTTACCTTTTCTTCTTCCTCTTCTGACAGGATACCTTTCAGCATTTCATCGAATACTGGTT